CCCCAAAACCCCAAAACCCCAAAACCCCAAAACCCCAAAACCCCATGAAGGAGGCGGGGAATTGAGAGAGGACTGATTTTTAGATTATAGTGGTATTTGAGGCAGATTGATTTCTAACTAGGAGGTTTAACAATTTAGACAAGCACCAAGATTTCAGCCACCATAACCACCCAGTACTTCTAATTCATCCCAAAATTCACTTCTTCATGATCTTCTACTCAATTTTTTCTAAAAATTATGCATAAAACAGTGATGGCCTATTTCTCTTTGTCATTTCGAATCACATTTGCTCCTCTTCATTGATACATCTAAGGACCTTGGCTAGGCACTGGTCTTGGTCTTCGATTCCATCTATAGACTATTTCAGACACCTTTTTCAACACCAAAATGGGTTTAAAGTATGGACTTACATCGATCAGATAATTTAGGGACTCTCCTCTTGACGTAGTACATTAGGATATCGAAGTTGTCTTCATCGAGCATATCGACCATCTGTTTATTTCATAGGCAAGTATTCTCCTAAGAAATCCTGTATTTAGTAGGTAAGGTAACCCTCTTGAAATCCTTACCATATACAAGGGAGAATCAATAGCCAACAAAATACTATGATAGCACTCAAATGCAATAAATACCACAAACAATGTCTATATAAAAACTCGTAGGAAGTCTTACCTTAAATTTAGGCCTTTCCATGCACAACTTCCAGTGCTCGTACAGGCTACTGTAAGAAGGCAAATGTGCCAGGATTCTGTCTAACCTACAATATGAGATAAAAGCAACCTTCTACAGGATATTAACGACTTGGAATACTCTGATGAATATTTTGAGATTTTAGAGTAAAGCGTGTTCATTACGTTTTCAGGGGAGTAATGTGATGGGCTAGCGTACAGGACTAGGTACACGACTAGAGGTTAGAGTGGTGCTTACTTTCCTTGAGTTTTATGTAGAGGGATCCGTAGTTTCTGCTCTCGCTTGGGATTAAATCGTGGTAGACATAGTGGTGGTTCGTGTGATGGGTGAGAGGGCTTAAGCGAGGAAGATACCTTAAAATTATACACAAAACTTACAAAAACTGATCCATTGGCTCTTCATCTTTATCTTGGTTATCCCCTGACTGAACTTTCACCTCTTCTCTTTCATCTGGCTCGAAAGAGAAATCTGATTCATCTATTATTTATATAAAATGTCTTTCTTACCTTCACTCATTATTTCATCCATTTGGCTGCTCATGAAAGTGCTAGACTCAAGGTTCTCTGGTACAAGACCCGTCATCAAGCGCTCATGGATGTAGGGGTAGGATAACTCAGTATCCGATTGGTCGGGATCTGTTGACATTGTGTTTAATTCTCCTTCAAAATCACCCATTCATCAAGCTTAATTTTCAATAGATATCTATCCTTGCGGGGTTTTGGGGTTTTGGGGTTTTGGGGTTTTGGGG